TGTGTGTGTTAGAATGCAATCACGTGGTTGTGAAGAAAATCACACATATTTGTGAAGGATATCTTATGTGGTTTTGAAGGATATCACATGTGTTTATACACGACAAATATCTTTCACGTGTGTGTTTCTCAATAAAACATGATCTCAAACACAAACATGAAACATGTTCTCGAGCTCACAGAAAGAATGAATTACACAGAACAAGTCTCACCCCAGTGCTGGACATAAGATTCTGCATCGTCTGTTTGATTTTCTCCAGACCTTCACTGTCGTTGACCCACCGGACGCGCTCGATCGGCAGGGAGAAAGGAGAAAGAGGAGGAGCCGGCCTTGAGACTGTAGGCCCTGCTGTGAAGAGCGCTGGAACGGAGGAAGGTAAGTAGGATGAAGATAGAAACGGTATATCTCCTTCATCCTCCTCCACTACCGCATCTTTCACTTTGTTCTCTTTCTTGGATTCTGTTCCTTGCGCGTCGATCTGCGGGAGATTGCAAGACAGAGCGAGCATGATATTCTTCATGAGCCTAACTCGCAATTGCTTCACACGGCAGTTTTGCACGTTTTTCATGATGATCGACGCGTCGTGATCTGTGAGATTCAACGTGTGCAGCAGCGTGCTCTCTTCAACTAGAGCCTCTTGTTGCTTCGCAACCTTGTACCACTCCTTCAGAACGTCTCGATCATGTCCTCGTATCGCTGCATCTTCACTCCCGTCTTCGTCCTCCCCACGTCTATCCGCACATTGCGCTCTTGGTTGGCCGATAGGTCGGAGCTGCAACGCTAAGATGCCTGACAGTCGTTTCACCCATGAGCTTTGATTCCTCTCCATCATTGAAACCGAGATAAGAAGATCAATCTCTCTCAACAGGATCATCACATCTACATTAATCACATCTGCGGATCCTTTGATGTGCTCAACAATCCTCTGCGCGCACGTCTCGATCAAGCTCTTCACAGGGAATGAAAGAGAAATCTGTGCGTCATCGCCGCCGCTTCCTCTCGCTCCTCCTTCCTCTCCACAGCTGTTCTCGCTAATGTCCTCCCTCATTCTCCTGCTCCGCAAATCATCTCTCCTCTTCCTCCTGCTCTCCACAGTCGTCGGGTTGATAGCAAACTTGGTCTGCGAGTGGACATTGCAAGGGGAGAAGAACCTAGGGTCGATGTCTCCGTACTCTACCCCATCCGAGTGAGTTTCTCGAAAGTTCTTCCATCCTGACCACCTCCCTCCTGTCCAATCTCTCGCCTCCTGCCCCGCCTCCTGCCCCGCCTCCTCCTCCTCCTCCTCCCGCCTGCTGATCATCTCCACATATTTGTCTTCCAAATGGCTGGAAGCGATCGACCTGGGGGTCTGCCCCTTGTTGTTTACAATCCTCACCCTCGCTCTGTGCTCCAGCAGCACCTCCACAACCTCCCCCCGCGATCGCGTGAGAGCATAGAAGATGGCGGTCTTTCCGTAGTTGTGCACGCCCGTTGACCAGCGGTTCACGTCCATCCCTTTCTGCAGCAGCAGGCGAACGCTGTCAATGTGTCCCCGCCATGCGGCATGATGCAGCGGGTTCTTCCCTGAAGCATCGCAGCAGTCGTCGAGTTGAGCTGCTGATAGATCCTTGATCATCAGCCTGAACCCTTCATGGTCTGCGGATGCTGCTGCCCTGCGCAGCTTTCCTCCTCCTCCTCCTCCTCCTCCTCCTCTCGTCCTGTGCGAAACTTGAACCTTTGACCCTCCCGGCATCTCGGAGCTGGCAGACATCACTGGACTGACCGCAGCTCGTCCGATGCAACGTCTCGGGCTGATGAGATGGAGCCTCCCTTGCAGCGCCAAGGTACCGATGAGAGGGAGGAGGGAAGGAAGGAAAGTCCTATAGGCTACCCGGTAGGACCCTGA